GGAGAGGGAAGTGCCCGCGCTCGGCCGTGGGAACAGCGGTGTCCGTGATGTCCCAGCGTTGGACACGGTGGCACGGGGTGGGGACAGCGGGGACACCGGGCAAAGCCACCCCTGAGCACGGTCAGGGTGCCACATGGCCGGCAGAGTGACCACTCAGTGCCCATCGTGCCCTGCCCCGTGCCCGTGGTCAGGGCGCCACATGTCCGGCAGAGTGACCACTCAGTGCCCACCATGCCCTGCTCCGTGCCCGCAGTCAGGGTGTCACATCCCCAGCAGAGTGACCACTGGGTGCCATGAGCAATGCCCATCGTGCCCTTGGCCAGGGTGCCACATGGCCAGCAGAGTGACCACTCTGCCCTGCCCCGTGCCCGTGGTCAGGGTGAAACATGTCCGGCAGAGTGACCACTGGGTGCCCAGCTCCGTGCCCGTGGTCAGGGTGCCACGTCTGGCAGAGTGACCACTCAATGCCCACCATGCCCATGGCCAGAGCTCCACATTTCCAGCAGAGTGACCACTGGGTGCCACGAGCAATGCCCATCGTGCCCTTGGCGAGGGTGCCACATCTGTGGCAGAGTGACCACTCAATGCCCACCATGCCCTGCTCCGTGCCCGTGGCCAGGGCTCTACATCTCCAGCAGAGTGACCACTGGGTGCCACAAGCGATGCCCACCATGCCCTTGTCCAGGGTGCCACATCTCCAGCAGAGTGACCACTCAATGTCACGAGCAATGTCCACCATGCTTGTGACCAGGGTGCCACACCTCTGGCAGAGTGACCACTGGGTGCCATGAGCAATGCCCACTGTGCCCATGGCCAGAGCTCTGCATTTCCAGCAGAGTGACCACTCAGTGCCCTGCTCTGTGCCCTCGGCCAGGGTGCCACATGCCCGGCAGAGTGACCACTGGGTGCCACGAGCAATGCCCACCGTGCCCATGGCCAGAGCTCCCCATCTCCAGCAGAGTGACCACTGGGTGCCACGAGCAATGCCCATCGTGCCCGTGGCCAGGGTGCCACATCTCCAGCAGAGTGACCACTGGGTGCCACGAGCAAAGCCCTCCATGCCCTGCTCCATGCCCATGGTCAGGGTGCAACATCTCCAGCAGAGTGACCACTGGGTGCCACGAACAATGCCCATCGTGCCCTTGGCCAGCCTGCCACATCTCCAGCAGAGTGACCACTCAATGCCCACCATGTCCGTGGTCAGGGTACCACATGTCTGGCAGAGTGACCACTCAGTGCCCACCGTGCCCTGCTCTGTGCCCGTAGTCGGGGTGAAACATGGCCGGCAGAGTGACCACTCAGTGCCCTGCTCTGTGCCCGTGGCCAGGGTGCCACATGTCCGGCAGAGTGACCACTCGGTGCCCACCGTGCCCGTGGTCAGGGTGAAACATCTCCAGTGTAGTGACCACTGGGTGCCACGAGCAATGCCCACCGTGCCCTTGGCCAGGGTGCCACATCTCCAGCAGAGTGACCACTGGGTGCCACGAGCAATGCCCACTGTGCCCATGGCCAGAGCTCCACATTGCCAGCAGAGTGACCACTCAGTGCCCACCGTGCCCTGCTCCGTGCCCGTGGTAGGGGTGAAACATGTCCGGCAGAGTGACCACTCAGTGCCACAAGCAATGCCCACCGTGCCCATGGCCAGGGTGCCACATGTCCGGCAGAGTGACCACTGGGGTGCCAGGAGCAATGCCCACCGTGCCCATGGCCAGAGTTCCACACCTCCAGCAGAGCGACCACTGGGTGCCCACCGTGCCCTGCTCCGTGCCCACGGTCAGGGTGTCACACGTCCGGCAGAGTGACCACTCAGTGCCATGAGCAATACCCTCCGTGCCCTGCTCCACGCCCATGGCCAGGGCTCTGCATGTCCAGCAGAGTGACCACTGGTGCCACAAGCAATGCCCACTGTGCCCATGGCCAGGGTGCCACATCTCCAGCAGAGTGACCACTTGGTGCCCAGCTCCGTGCCCGTGGTCAGAGTGCCACATGTCCGGCAGAGTGACCACTGGGTGCCACGAGCAATGCCCACCATGCTTGTGACCAGGGTGCCACATCTCTGGCAGAGTGACCACTGGGTGCCACGAGCAATGCCCACCGTGTCCTTGGCCAGGGTGCCACATGTCCGGCAGAGTGACCACTCAATGCCCACCGTGCCCTGCTCCATGCCCACAACCAGGATGCCACATCACAAGCAGAGTGACCACTTGGTGCCACGAGCAATGCCCATCGTGCCCATGGCCGGGGTGCCACATCGCCAGCACAGTGACCACTCAGTGCCCACCGTGCCTGTGGTCAGGGTGCCACATGTCCAGCAGAGTGACCACTCAGTGCCCAC